ATGTTAAGCTTGGGCACAATATCTGAGAGGCAGAGTGTCATGCTGCACTGGGCTTAGGTGAATAATGCAGCTATACTATTTCCAGTTTTGGAGCTACTGTGTGCAGAGCTAGTTTGTGCATCTCTGTCTAGGGCTGCTTTACATTATCGAGACTCCAGTAAGAGAGCTAGCAAGTCCATACGCTGGCACTGTCCAGAGATATCTAAAGTACCCTGCCTGAATGTAAGCTTGCAACAATAGGTTCATCAAAAGCAAGATGAAGGGGGGAGGCACAATGCATCATTCAAGATTCTGAACCAACCAGCCAGTCCAGGCACAAAAAGTTATTATAAGGAATTCTAAGGGCAGAAAGGACCATTGTGATCTAGGCTTAGGTCACACCTCCTGCATATATAGGGCATGCATCTTTTTCTAAAACTGGATTTACGGATTTTACTCATGAGAACCTGGGACTAGCTAAGGAAAGACTAGAAGGTGGATACATAACTGGGTGGCTCATCATGCTCAGTAAGCAGTCATTAGTGGCTCCGTGTCTAGTAGGGAGGAGGCGGCATCAAGCGGATGTTCCCAATGTTCTGTCTTGGGTCCAGGATTGTTCCATGTCTTAATGATTCGGATGATGGGATTAAGTGCACGCTTAGTAAGTCTGCAGATGACACCAGGTTGGGTGAGGTTGCAGATAGTCTAGAAAGCAGGGCTAGGATCCAGAATGACCTGGATATACTGGAAAAATGTTCCGCAGTCAACCAGATAAAAGCTCAATATGGGCAAATGCAAAGCCCGGCACTTGGGATGGAATAATTCCATGTATAAATACTGACTGGGGAATGACTGGCTGGGCTACACTATTGTATAGAAGAACCTAGGGGTTACAGTAGACCACAAACTGAATGAGACAACAAAGCAAAAATCAGAGAGTCATGAAGGAAGGCAGGCAGTGGTGATATCATGTCTACCCTCCACTAGGATGAGTCCCCATTCCAGTGCACGTCTTTGCAGGAGTATCATGAAAAAGCGCATCTTCCCATGCCTGCAGACTTGAATCTGTGACAAGCCAGTCATTTTAAAGAAATCAGCTTAGATCAAGTGGTTAAAATCTTCATGGTAGTCTTTAATTGAAAGATTTCTTTTGTTAGCGCTTTATTTCCCCTCACTAATGAAAGGATAAAAGATACACTAAAATGATTCTGTATTTTCTTGTCAGCTACATTACAAAGGAAGAGAGTAAACTGGCAGTAAAAAGGGCAAGTTTTGGATGCATCTGATCTATCTGATCAGGCATCTGTTCTCTTTGAAAGATGTTTACCACATACTTGTTTTTTTAATTAAATGGACTAACGAGTAAGGTAAGAAACAACGGAAGTTTCTCTTCTGTTATTTGCTTTCTGAACAGGGTTTCCATCACTAACGCTCATTTGTATCTCTCACAAGCATCACAGAATACTACTATGTAATTTTTTCAAGTTTTAAGTAACCACTGATGATTGCTATAGTGTGGAAGGAAGGGAGGAGTACAACTGTACATCAGCACCCAAGGCTCATTTGCTTTTTAATAGAGCAACTATATTTCCTCCATTGTCTATTTTATGAGCACACCTGGCTCCTCCAGACCTCCCCTCCCATAAAAGGGGACACAGATGCATAAGAAGTTACTTATGTATTATGATGTATTTGCTAGAATTGATCAAGTTTAAGCAAGAAAAGTACCAGAAAGAAACCACATGAAAGAAATACTAAATATACCTCATCAGTATTATCTATTTGACTCATTCCTTTTACATAGCCCCTTTAAATTTGGAATTATTTTATTCAGGCATTTCTAAAAAAAAAAAAGAAAGAGTAAACAAACATTCTGGTCAATAGCATGTACCCCATGAAAACTAACCAGAATAAAAAATATAGCATTGAGGATGGCAATGAGATCACCTCTTCCTGTATTGTGTTTTCTGTCTTAATGCTTGCCACTTGCCTTGTTGGTCTGTATTTCTCTCCCAAGTCAAGTCAAAGGTCCACCCTTGGCCTAACAGCCCACTGAGGTAGTCTGGTTAGGACACCAATTTCTGTAGTCAGTGGCACACAAGAGCACATCATGGCTAGCATCACATATAGCC